CCCAGCACTGTTCCCATCCCCCCAATTCCCCAATAAAAAATCTTTAAAAAAAAAAAAAGAAATCCACAGATGGCTGCTGCCCATGCTGTGCTTCGAGGCACCTTGAGAGGCCAAGCTGCAAACCAAGGCCTGCTGCTGCTAATGCCGCACTTAGGTCTGCTCAGCCATAGGTACAGGACATGCTCAAGTCAGGTCCTGCTTGTCTGGTTTCCCCGAACCTTTGAGAGACCCTAGGAAAGTCTACAGCTTGAGCCAAGGCAGGCAGTCTGCATGAAAAAGCCACTGGAAGTGGCTTGGGTGTGCCTGAAAGTTGGGTGGGGCCGGTCTTGAATCGCCAGGGCGGGGTGAACAAACTGTGTAGACTCAGATATGGTGGCCGCCTGCCTCGGCAGCTAGGAAGGGGGAGGGCTCAGCAAAGAAACAATGGCCTCTGCCAGTTTCCCAGTCCAGGAGAAAGTCGCCTCTCTAGTCCCCATCCCAAGCCAGATAACTCAGTTCCCCACCAGATGTCCCTGCTGCTTCCCCAGCGGTGGAGCTCACAGTGAGTGATTCCATTGGTGGGTAAGTCTGTGAGAGATCCCTTTAAGAGGAGCGCCTGGGAGTACAGCAGCACTTAGTCTCACTCAGTCACAATCTCCACTGGTTTTCACAACCAGAAATTATGGAGATTTCTCTCCCCAGCACTGGAACCCTGGGCTGGGGCTGGGATCTCTTGCTTTTTTGGGGGTTGGGGGACCTCCACAGCCAAAATATCCCTCCTGATCTTTAATGGTCACACACGGGTGTGGGACCAGCCCTTTCTGCGTCTCTACCCTTCCTACCAGTCTGGAGGTGGCTTCTTCTGTGCATCCTTAAAGGCTTCAGTTCAGCTTGATTTTAGGTGATTCTCTATAATAGGTGTTTTGTAGATTAGTTGTAATTTTGATGTGGTTGTGAGAGAAGATAAACACAGCATTTACCTACTGCGCCATCTTGGTTGTCTCCTGGATCGGTCTCTCTGCTTATAGGAGTTTTTACTTCACCAATATACCGTGTTTCCCCCAAAATAAGACCGGGCCTTATATTCATTTTTTCTCCAAAAGATGCATTTTATTCATGTATAAAAATCTACATTTATTCAAATACAGTCACGTCTGGCTGACGATCTTAACTGGGACTTATTTTGGGGTAGGGCTTATATTACGAGCACCCTAAAAATCATGCTAGGGCTTATTTTTTGGTTAGGTCTACTTATTTTCAGGGAAACACGGTAGTAGAGGCAGATAGGTTGATGTGGGCAAAGGAGCTCAGATTTTATATTGAAACCCCAGGAAAAATAATGAAGGAATTTAAGTGCAGAGTGACACAGTTCTTTATATATAGAAAGGAATATGAAAGAACTAAAGGTGACTAGGAAAATTGAAATATTTATTCCTCTGATTCACTTTAAACATAATACATATATGCTATAGAATGTAACGAGTTCAATAAGTGTACAGAGTACAGATTTTATATAAATACAGGTTTTAGAAGATCCAAGCAAATTCTGTTAGAAGTCTGTTCCTGTGAGTCCTTGATGGTCATTGAAAAACATTGAACACTAAGGAATTGTCTTCCTTTGAACCTGAAAGGCATGTCTGTATCATATGGAAGGAAAAGTATAATCTGTGTGAGAATTTTATTCAAGCTCACAGCCATATTCAGTTGTTACATATTCTCTTTGTTATGATCTTTCCTGTTGATTACAGTTTGTTAATTATTTCCATCTATTGGGTTGTCGGAAAAGTCATGACACATTTTTGCAATGAAAAACATAGAAAAAAATACTTCATGACTTTTCCGACAGCCCAACAGTACTTCTATTCAGTTAGTCTTAGAGTGAGTTACTCTTTTTCACCTATCCACTGTTCTTCTCTTCAACATTTTCTGGCTGTCTAGTCCTCATAAAGTTTCATTTTAGTCTTATATTCCATTTGAGCTATCCACTAATGTTTCATTAGCAATTCTTCTTGTGCTTCTCAGACTTCTTACACATGATCCAGCTATTTTTACACTTCCTATTATCTTTAAACCTTTTATTAAATAAATATCCAGCAGGGCACATATTGTTTGTAAATACAATATGCAGTGTATTAAGTTCAAAATTGTTGACATATTTTTATCATTACACATTACAGAAACTCTAAGCCTAATTAAAAAAAGACCAAGTAAATAAGCCTCCAGAAAAACTACACAATTTTTGTAAACATTCACTACCTACATGTCATTTCTCAGTGTCAATATTTTAAAATTAACATGTGTAGTTTGGGAAGGATCACTGGATACTTACATGTTCATTAATTGGAAAGTTTACGTAGATTTCTTCACCAGATGAACTTTGGGGAAATGTATCTACGCACTTTACAGATACGGATGTATTTCAAAAAGTGCACTGACTGCTCTGTGCTGGGTGCCCAAGGGGAAGTAGAAAGGAGCTAAGGCTAGAAAAATGGAGGCAGGATTTTAGAGGACCCTGACTACTAAGCTAGGGAGTTAGTACTTTATCCTTTATTATAGGCAATAACATCTACTGAAAAATAGATCTAATTTTTACTGAGTGCTTATTCTGTGCTAGAGTTAAGTTATGTATGTGAAGCGCATGCTCTCATTTAATCCTCATAACTATTATATAGGTACTATAATTATTCCCATTTCACAGATGAAACAGATCCATAGAGGTTAAGCAGCCCAGCTCAAGGAAACAGCTACTCAGTGATGGGGCCGAAATTCAAAATTGGCTCTAACTCAAAAGCCCATTGTCTAAACCAGAGGGAAGTGAGAGTAGGAGATTTATGTTTCACAAAGATAGCTCTGGTAGAAGTATGAGAACAGACTGCGGGGAGAGAAGTCTAAAGGCAGGGGAACCAGAGAGGATGCTGTTGCAGTAGTCAAGAACTGTTAGGCCCTATTAAGGGGCTGTCCCTTAATCGCAGGAGTTAACGCAGATGAGTGACATTATCAGAGAAATTGTTTTGAACATTCCTCTGGAAGCCCACGTGAAGGATGATAGGAGTGGAGAAGGAGAGACTAAAAATTACGTTTGGAGGTTGTTGGGATTGTCACTCTCCACCACTCAAGTGCCTGTCGAGGGGCAGGAGAGGGTCTTATCTAAGTCCTCAGGGCTCGTCCGATTTGCAGAGCATCCGCCCCTCTCCCCACCTCACCTCTACTTGGACGACGTTCCGTCCATGCCCTGGGAAGGGGTTTTCGCGCACTTTCTTAGGTGGAGGACTGAGCCCCAACAGCGGCGCCAGCGGTGGCGGCGGTCGCCGGCGGGGGTGGGGCGCATGCGCGCGGTTGCTAGGCGACGGCAGTCAGGGCGCCGCGGCTGTTAACAGCGCCGGGGCTGTGTGTGTAGGCAGCGGCGCCAGAGGAGGAGGAGCACAAGGATGCAGCTGCCACCATGGCCCGAGAGGGAGCTGCCGCTGCTCTGTGGCCGCGGGGGCTGAGGGACGGGAATCAGGCCCGGGGGTCGCGTCGCTGAGGGGACCGGGGGCGGCCGTCCCGCCGGTGCTCCGGCCTAGTACTCCGGGAGGGTCCTGGCCTCTGGGCGAGGGCCTCCCCTTCATTGCCTCCCCTCGCCCCTCCACGTCGATGGTGGTGAATTTGGCGGCGCCAGGGAGCGCAAGGCACCAGGCTGCTTTCCTTGCACCTAGCTCCTCCTGGGGCGCGTCTCTGGCCCCTGCTCACGGACACCTGCGCCGCCGCCTCCTCTCGCCCGCTGAGCCCACCCCTGGCGGCGGGCGGGGGAGGGGCTCCCCCTGCAGGGGGCTGAGTCGAGCTGGGCGACGACGGGGACCGTAGGAGAGTAGGGGTGAGTAGTGGCACCGCACTCGCCTGGTGCTGGGGCACGTTTCCGGCCTCCGGGGCCCCGGGAAGCGACCGAAGCGCTGCTTTCTCCTGCAGAAGCTTCTGACGCCTCTCCTACATCTGCTCGCGGCTCCCTATTCCCCTTTGAGGTAGTTTTCCTTCTCAAAACCACCACTCTCTCAGTCTCAACCCCGGCGTCCAGGAATGCGGGGTCGGTGCTTAAGGCTTGGCTCTGCTTCATAGATGCCATAAATGCTGCTAATTCTACGTACAGTCATGTAGCCTGGTCCCTGATTCAGGGAAAGACTTTCCCGGTGCCGAGCTCGCCCCTTTTCCCTCGCTCTTGTTCTCTAGAGGCTCAGCCTGACCACAGGCTTCTTAAGAGTGGATTCTCAAGCTGCTGTTGCTCCATGCCTCAAGGCTTGAACAGGCAGCTGGCGTGGTCCCTTTTCAGTTTTCGTGTGCCGAGTGCTTCTGAAAGCCCTGTGCCTGGCTTCTGACATATGAGTTAGGAAGGCAGTACTTCTATTCAATAATGATAATAATAATAAAACAAACTAGCAAACACACCACTTGACTTCCAAGGTGGCATCAAACTTGAAGTAGACAAAGAGTGGCTGATTGATAACAGGGGAAACAGGTTTTACGAAGTAACTATTCCTTCATTCAGAATGACATGCCTTTTTTAAATGAATATGATGAAATCTAAAATGCCCATAAGAAAAACGAAGATATGTTATGATCTACCTGCTCTCCCTGGGATAGCCTGAAGTTGAGAACAGTTGCTTCAAAAAAATTGGCATGAGGGACCTGAAGTCATATTTTAGACAGGGTGATGAAGATTCAAAGTTGTAAGGCGCTTTTTGGAAATTAGCCATATTATCTTTGAGGAATGAAGTTTCATGAAAAGAAAAAGGTTGAAAAAAGTTACAGTGCACCGTTGACCCCTTCCAAAAGTAAACTGAATTTAGATTAGTAATTTTGGTTGTAAGGTACTTCTGTGCACAAAGAAAGATGGGTTCCTTCTTTTATTTGACTCTTCCCTTCGTACTGGTTTTTAAACCATTTCAGGTTTCTCTTATTAAAGAAAGAAGTGGAAAAGAAGTGCAATAATGGAAAAGCTAAATTTAGTATTGGACAAACAGTTTTAAGCTAAAGATTTTTAAGGATATAGATGTCATTTGTGATTAGATAACTTTATCTAGTGAATCAGTCAAAACTGACAACTCCCTGATAGTTTTGGGTGAAATGCTTTGCTTTGGCAGTTTTCATGCTGTTTGAGGTATAGTTTCAAACATGATATAATTCTGGTATCACTGAAAAATAATCTTGGACCTCAGCAAGTATTGTTTTGTGAATTAGCAAGCTGACATGCTTCTAGTTCCTAGATTTTCAAAGTTAAAGATTTTTTGTTTTGGAAAAGCTCTTGATAAATTCAAGTCTGAATTATTTGAAATAATAATGTACCATGTGGGTACTTGCTGTTCATTTTCACATACTTTTAGAACCAGGCAGTCATTGGAGCCAGTTTAGAATTCTATTGTAATGAGTATGGCTACAAAGGTGCCACATACTCAAAAGCATTTACCTAGAATGTTGTTACCATATTATAAGAGAATAGCAATAGTTAATTTTGCAAGTGCAATCAAAGCACTTGAACAGTGAACTCTGGGATAACTTTTTTTTTTAATTGACTTTCAACATGCTTTTATTTTCTATCTTCACTAAGTGCTCATTACTATACTAGGTACTGTGGAGAGTAGAACAGAGACAGGTCCCAGGAATTAAATTGCTTGCCCATTGGAGAAAGAAAATGCGTGTATGAGAAATCATGGTCAACAATTGGAACATAGAGTAGTACAGAATAAGAGCCACAATAATTAACAGTAAAGGGAGATCTTTGAAGATTGGTGTTTGTCTGAGAAGGCTTTATAGAGAAAATTAAACTTGATTCGTTTTTTGATACAAGTATAGACTTTGTTGGAAGGGGGGAGTTCAGCATGGCATGAACTAAGACACTTGATTTTCTAATCTTTGTGAATATTACCCCCCTTGATAAACTTAAAGAGGGAGGATTCTGTCAGTGGCAATTAACTCCTTTGTGTGGGCATAGTTTTTTTAATAATAAATACTAAATTAATAAATTAAATATAAATAAATTTTCAAATATACCTATTATAGAAGTCAAATTTAAAATGGTCATCCTATTTCCTGAGGCAAGTGAGAATGTTTTCTAAGCAGATATAGACTTTTAAGTTCACATATTTTAATAACCTTTTATCACTGTATCATGAGAGAGTTATAATCTAAGTGTTTTGTTTAAAACTGATCTGATTAGTACACCTTTAGATTATTAATATGCTCTAAAGACTAGTTCTTGAAAAAGTAAATTAGGGATATTATAAAAGCAACATGAATTTTTGTCCATTAAAGTATATAACTTAGTTTTAATACTGCTAATTAGTACTACTATTTCTGTTATTTTCTGAAAACAAAGGGGGGTATGTCAGAGTCCTGCAAATTGATGTCTGTCAAAGTTCTAATATAATGTTATTAATAATGCGTGTGTTAATATTTGGCAACTAACATCAGCGTTTAAGCAATTACAAACCAGCAAAACTTACTTTCGTGCTTTTCTAACAACTTTTTGCAGTCAGTGTTGATAATTAGTTATATGACGAATAGTTTTGTGAGTTTTAGTCAACTATTGCAAGTTAATGTTTGTATATAGAAAAATAACAATAAGAAAATATACTACAATTATTACATCAAAAGAGAGGTATGCACCCCCCAACAGAAATTCACATATTAGAGTGACAAATACGAAGAAATCTTAAGTTAATACACAGGTTTACTCTAAGGAAAAATATACCAAACTTGAAATATTATGAGGCTTCTTCTATACACCATCGTATACTTTTCATTTGGAATATTTTGCTGCCAGCAATAGTCTTCTCTGACTACAGTTATTACTAATACACTTTAATTCACAGAAGATAGTTTTAGCAAATATAATTTTTGCTTTGAGCATCCTCTACTTAGGGCATCACCTATTATTTAAATAAACAAGTTAGAGAACAGAATGGTCCACACAGATAGTCAATGAATATTTGAACATTATTGGAAATTAACCAGTTAAGAGAAAGCAAAATATATTCAAAAGGCATTGGGGTTAGACTCCTTTGCTAAGCAAGTATTGCACATTTCTGTTCCTAGCTGTTTATGCAGGTATCAAAAGGGAAAATCTTTGGAAAGAGAATTGATGAATTCAAATAATGGGCAAACTGCTGAGAAAATAAGATTACCTTATTTTATTTTCTAAGTACTATGGTGGTTTAAGGCAGGTACACATCTTAGGTAAATTGCTAAATCTCAGTGGTGGCAACATGAGAAATAGGGTATGGAATTGCCAGTTCGTGTTACTATATAATAGATAACTAAATACTTTTACCATATTGCTGAATTGGGAGGTAGAGCAGCATTACACTAAGTACCAATGATGTATCCATAAGTTATAATTTTCTTTAAATATGTCATTTAAAAAGTATTATTGTATTCATTTTTAAATAATTTTTTATTTCTCAATTACAGTTGGCATACAATATTATATTAGTTTCAGGTGTACAACATAGTGATTTATATAACTTATGAAATGATCACCCCGATAAATCTAGTGCCCATTTGACACCATACATAGTTATTACAATGTTGTTGACTGTATTCCCTATGCGATTTTGTAACTATCCCCATGCTTGTTTTGTAACTATCAAATTGTACTCCTTAATCCCTTCCCCTTTTTTTGCCCACCCCCTCAACACCCTTCCCATCTGGCAACCATCAAAATGTTCTCCGTATCTATGAGTTTATTTTTGTTTTTGTTTTTTTTTGTTTATTTTGTTCTTTAGATTCCACATATACGTAAAATCATATGATATTTGTCTTTCTCTGTCTGACTTATTTCACTTAACATAATACCTTCTAGGTCCACCTATGTTGTTGCAGATGGCAAGATTTCATTCTTTTCTATGGCTGAGTAATATTCCATTGTATATGTGTACTGCTTCTTTGTCCATTCATCTTTTGATGGACACTTAGGTTGCTTTCATATCTTAGCTATTGTAAATAATGCTGCAATGAATATATGGGTGTATATATCTTTTTGAATTAGTGTTTTGGGTTTCTTGGGATAAATACCCAAAAGTGGAATTACTGGGTCCTTCTTTGTGTCTTGTTTTAGCCTTTGTTTTAATGTCTATTTTGTCTGATATAAGTATTGCTCCTCAAGCTTTTCTTTTTTTTGTTTCCATTTTCATGAAATACCTTTTTCCATCCCTTTACTTTCAGTCTGTGTGTGTCTTTCGATCTGAAGTGAGTCTCTTGTAGGCAGCATATGTAAAGGTCTTGTTTTCTTATCCATTCAGCCACCCTATTTTTTTTTATTGGAGCATCATTTACTCCATTTTCATTTAACGTAATTGTTGATAGCTATGTAGTTATTGCCATTTATTTATTTATTTATTTATTGTCTTAAAGAAGTCCCTCTAAGATTCCTTGTAATATTGATTTGGTGGTGATGAACTCCTTTAGGTTTTTCTTGTCTGGGAAGCTCTTTATCTGTCCTTCAATTCTAAATGAATTGGGTAGAGTTATCTTGATTGTAGGTCTTGCTTTTCATCACTTTCAATATTTCATGCCAATCCCTTCTGGCCTGCAAAGTTTCTGTTGAGAAATCAGCTGACAGTCTTATGGGAGCTCACTTGTAGGTAACAAACTGCTTTTCTCTTGCTACTTTTAAGATTCTTTATTTGTCTTTAACCTTTGACATTTTAATTGTGATGTGTCTTGATGTGGGCCTATTTGGGTTCATCTTGTTTATAACTCTCTGCGCTTCCTGAGCTTGTATGTCTATTTCCTATTCCAAATTAGGGAAATTTTCCATATTTATTTCATCAAATAGGTTCTCCATTTCAAGCTCTCTTTCTTTTGCTTCTTGTATTCCTATGA